TGAAACAGGAATGTAATATTAAAAACAACCTTCATCAAGGCCTCCAAATCCATGATTTCACCAGCCCCCCATCCGTTCTTCTGAAATTCTCTAATGTTCGGTGCTTTCCTGGTCGGTAATTTGCTCTTTAGACAAAGGGCTTATTTGTTTAACACAGATCTGGATGATCAGTGATCCCAGAATAGGTTCGCCATTTCCATAAGGCAAGTTCTAGTGTCAGTGAGCCAATGACGGATCACTGATTGTAATCCACATTTGTGTGAAACAAACGGGACCTTAGTACATTGTTTGTGTCAAACTGTGATTCAAGCTTTTTCTGTTAGCACTTTTTCTCGGTATATTCATACCATAAAAGTACATGTGTGTATCTGAAAGTTCAGCCGATAATGTCAGTGCGACTTACGCACGATGCACCTTACGTCCCTGCATGGGTGGACTCTTGCAGCATTCCCAAGTTCATTGGACTTTTGACGTGGCACAGTTATTGGATATCTTCCCTGATTCATTTAGTATTGGCACAGCATACCCTTTCAGATCTTGCCTGCCTCCTTGCGGGACTCAGCAACTTGAAATCCTTGCGCTGTGCCTTGTTTGGACTTGTGTAAGATGAGAAGGAGGCGGGGACACACAATGCGGGTTGCATCCTTGAGTGTCTTCCTCCCCTCTTCGTCCGACCATGTAGAATCCAGAAACCTAATAATCATTGTGTCTGTCCTGATGAAGACGACTCTTGGAAGTACTATCCAAAAGACTGTCCCTTCCCCCTCCCCTGCAGGATCGGTCAATCGTGGGCAGCTGTAATACTCGGCGACGCTCAACACGATTTGCTACAATTGGCTAGCAAAGATATACCATACCGATACCTGGCATTGATTGCCAGGTGTCTGCTTGACTGATAATCTCGGTTTTCATTGGGCTCCCATGTTGACGTGATTTTCGGTTGTTGGAAGCACCTGCATCCCTCGATGTGGATGTGTGTGCCAACGGAAGAGAGAGGCAGGTGATGGTTTTCGAGGGAATGTGAGGACCGAGGACGAGAACAGACCCTGAGAAATCCAAAAGGATGAAATGCAGTAAACAACCTTCGGGTTAATATTTGAAGTGATTTTAGTGTTCCTCAAAGGTTGATTGATAACAGGTACATGTAGTTCTCTATTGGCAATTGCAGTCCCTCTCTCTCTCGTTTGGAAATCTGTTCCCTGTTATTGCAGTGCCAGATTGGTGTCCAAAACTTGCCAGCTGAGGTACCGTAGAATGTGCATCAAGTGCACATGTATTGCAACAAGGCAAAGGTTCACATTCCCCTCAGTTTTGAAGCTTGTTTAAAAATACAATATTTAAAAGATATCACTTAGTAACGATACATATACTTGGGCATTGAGGGGAGGGGGAAAAGGTGGCACCACTACCCCCACCCCCCAAAAAAAGAAAGAAAAGAAAATGTAAACGACATGAAAAGGAGAAAAATGAGATAAAATGCTTGAAAATACCTCCTAGTGAATGGATTATCATATTTCTGCTGATAAGTGCTTTGTCTCATAAAATCCCCCCCCCCCCGGAAAATTGTGGTGACACCCCTATTCATATAGTAATTTTATTTTATTCTGTTTTTCCTGTTGTTGTTTCTTTCTCCCTATAGTTAACCTTCGAAAATTAATTGAACAAGTGCATGGTACATGCACCTACAATCAGGGTACTTCAATGTACCCGTACCACCTTCTGGATGGCTGCTCATATCTTGCGCAAGCTTCCAAACTAAATGCATCAGAAGCCCGATCCCATCATTTTATTTTGTACCTACTGGTAGCGTGGGTCGAGAATGTTAACAAAACAGTTCAAGGCTTTTGAAAAGTGCCAAGCATACTTTATAACGGCCCGACATGTGCTGTTAAAGTGAAAACCTTAAGCTTCACTACCATTGAGTGAGATGCTGTGGGTCAACAGAGGTCAAGGGCCGGCGATATCAGCCGGAAGGGAAGAAGTTGGTGATTTCAGTGTGTGCAGTTAATCCCAGTGCAAGCTTGTGGATGAGTGACTGGAATGTGCATCTGGGTGTTGAGAGTGGTACATGGTTGGCAGTTCTTTTTGCCAAGGGATCAAATCAGACAAATTTGGCAGAGGAGAGTAGTTCATGTGCTGAGTTTGTGTCAAGTTTACTGGTCAGTTATACTGTACCTTTGTATCATTTCTGTATACAGTCATTTACATGCACAGTACCTACATGTACCATGCATGCATATACTATATCCCTTTGTTTTTGTAAAAAAGAGTCCATGAAAAATCAATTCTAAGAATTCTTGTTTCACTGATCCGATATCAATCAAGATTCAGTTTTTATTGTTTTTTACTTCTTGGTTTGCTCTGTATCAATGACATACGGTAAATTGATGTCAGTGGTGGTAAGCATGAGTGTGTATCCACACCATATCCGTACTGAATATAGAAATTTACATCGGCATACTTGTGTACATGTGCAAAGCCTACTGCAATTTCCCTTTAAATGTTAAGCGTCAGATGATCCATTCCCATTTTATTTGTATCCTTCAGTCTCAATCTTCTGAGTAAGTACTCGTCCACAAGGAGCCGCATCAAATCCTTCTGTCATGCCTTGTCTCTCTCGGCAAACAACTTCAAGTGGTTTTTTGTTTCTTGGATGTCTCTCTCAGTGCAGCTCTTGTGACTGATTTGGATTCTGCACAGAACATGTATGACAAGTCAGGGCTGTTAACAGTATTAGGTTATTTGTTCTGGCATGAGCACCCACCCCTCTCACAAAGAGTGGAGAAAATTTCCCCCACTTGGTGCAAAAATGAATGTGTCCCTGCAAATTGGTTGTGAATTTTTTGAACAGGAAATTCACAATCAATCAACAATGTCAGAACGTGCCCCTGCTAACTGGTTGTGAATTTTGAACAGGGAAGAACGAAGGTTTGAGTAGTTGACAGGATTGAAATTGTGTACTTCATATACGGGTACTAGCTCTTGTACAATAACCTTCGATTCCATTGTCGTTTTTCACTCAACAACACTCTTGTATCAACAACAGCTCAATTACTTGTGTGGGTAGGTCAGGACAAGTTTCAAGGAATAGTGAGCTGGACTCCACCACAGGTACATGCGTGGGTCAGTCGCATGTTTGCCTTAAACCACATGTTAAGTACACACTCTTTCTGGCAGAAATTATGTATTGATGGTTGTTTACAGTGACGAGCCCGAAAGCACAAGTGACACTTCAAGTTCACACACAGAAAAAAAAAGAAAAGCAACAGAACTCATGTCATGGAAATCTGATTTTTGTGTGATTTATTAGTCTTGGTACTGGCCTAAAGCAGCCAGAACTGTACATGTACGTACATGTATTAGTGTGTTGTGTCAAAGCATTATAACTGCACTAGAAATTAAAAAGCTTGAAAACCTGTGCCTGTCAGTATTGATTTGAGTCGAAGCCAACAAGAGAAGTCTAAGCAGAGAAAATGGGCTTTTCCATTGGTTTCTCATTGGAACAAAAAGTGGAAGTTCGTGGTCAAACATAATCTTTATAGAATCAGGTGTCGTGCTAGCAGACTGCATGTCCTTGCTGCATTATTCAAAATTATCCGTACTCACTGCTCGGACAAAAATGAATGTACAATTGTGATCAAATGTCCTGCCGGCACATGCACTCTCTCCATTTTCCAAACTTCCTCAGCTGCATGTTGAACGCTAGTCAAGATCTGTACTATTTGTTCCATGTGACTGTGATGACTGACAGCAATTTACTTTCCTTAATTTCTGCAATGAAGAAATGGATTGAATGGAGAGTACAGAAACTGTTCAGGCATTGTCAGCTGCATTCTCACAAAGGATAGACTGGCTTTGTTAACCAGGTCCCAGGAAAAATAGTCAAATACAGTCTGCCTTCATTTCTTATATTCTTTCTTTGTTTTTCCTGCAAGAATCTGCTGTCAACTACCTTTACCTTTACCTTTTGTTGAAGCCATGCTTGAACTGTTGTCCGATTTCTTTCAAGTGCTACGGCAGATAAATTTTGTTGTAAACTTAACAATGTATTGCTCTTATTCTTGCAAATATTCAAATTCAGCTATTTTACATGTACGCATGGACAGAAAGAGATATAGTATGTTGTCATATGCAGTTGTTTGCAGAGAACTTTTCTTACAAGCCATTTCACGTACAGAAATTCTTGTGTATAGGAAAGAACAATGGTTCAAATAGATTGTCTGTTGACAGTTCATACCGTACATGTCTTGTTTTTTATTTATTTCAGATGAAAGGAAACAAGATTCCAAGTGACAGGGACTCGGAGAATACCATGTTGCATCCGCAGGTCACCGTGGCTAATGCTCTGTCACTAGGCATCTTCAAAGAAGTCATGCATCAGTTTAAAGACTCACCTATTAATCTCCCTGGCAACCAAAATAAACAAATTGCAAAGGAGGAGGTGTTTCCACTGGACAGGAGGAGAACTGGGGAGAAAGTTCAGTCATTGAAGGAGGCTGGGACCAAAATGGAAGCAGAGAAACCGATTCCTGAGCAGGTCAACTCCAATCAACTCACAAACAGTGCCAATGCCAACTCATTAAACAAGGCTGCCATATTGATGGTCCCGCCCGCTTACGACAACGACCCACCGGATGAAGCTCCACCCGCTGAGGAGGCCTCGCCCATTAAGGAGGCTCCACCTGGCAAAGAGGGAAAACTGAAGAAACAGTACCAGAGCAGAGTGGCCAACATGACCGTTGGTGGTAACAAGACGATCTATTTGGAGTACCTCTCCAAGTGCCATGTTGAAGGGAAGGATGCTGTTTCGGCCCTGGCAAGGGCCACATCACTGCAGTGCAAGCAGGAAATTGCTGACACCTTCTGTGACATGAAGAAGGGCTCCCTCTACCCTCAGAAAATGACCAGGATGTGCCCACTGAAAGGTGGCATTTGACTTATGTTATTTCGTTTCATTTATTTCCACACCACTTCCCTCCCCACCCCGCAAAAAATTCTACTCATCCCGGTTGACACTGAATACCAAAGTTTATCAACTGCAACTCTTATTTTTTAGTTAGAATACTGCCCCCAAATTGCAACCTTTACCTACAGCACTCTCACTTTCCTGAAACATTGAAAGTTTTTATGGTTTTATTTAACCCTAAATTACTAGACCATGAATTCTCTAAAATCCAACCCCTAGATGTGCATTATGATAAACAGAGTGTCAGAACTCTGAAGTCCAAACACTCCTTTATTTCACTGGCCTTGATATGTAATTTTATTAGTTATCATACAAGCGAAGTGGAAGACAGAATAATGTAGTGCATCTGAGTCCCATATACCACGAGGCCGATAGCCAAGTGGAATACGTGACACAGATGTACTATATTATTCTCTATTGCGTGAGCACGATAACGAATTTATCTTCAAGCAAACTTGACGTGCAGTAAAAAAATGTTATCAGGGCCTATGCGCGCAAACTTGCCACTTTTGAATTTAAAGTAAATTTTGTAGTTGTGCGTTGAGTTAGAATAGTGCATTACGCAGGTTTTGATATGAACCATGCAAAACGGTTATATATCACACTGCTTGTTGCCATGGATCGACCAATCACAATTGAGAATTCAAGTTTGCCCGAAGATAAGTTATTTAGTTTAGTACAGAGAGTACAATGGGGTTTGCATTTTCAGATTTTGGTTGATTACAAGAAGCTTTGTAAAAGAAAACTCGAAAAGTCACATTTAAAGACATTCATGTACATACATGTATAATTGGTAACATGCTTTGTTTTGGGTGTTTGGTTTTGCTTTTACCAGGAAAGCCAAGTAATGAAGTTCAAGATAACCCAAAGCTTAAGATTGAGGATGGCAGGCCAGTTCGCATTGTGTATGTGCTCGTTGTTCATGGAAGGGCACTTCGTCAAGTCCGACGGCTCATAAGGTTGCTATTCCACACAAATCATTACTTCTACATCCATGTCGACTCGGTGAGTGAACTTGAACATTCTTGAATATTGTCAGGTTTTTATGCTTTTCCTCTTTTCTTTGTACATGTACGTGTGTAAATGTTGAAATGTTAAGAAAAACGTGTTAGTTTGTCGTTCTGTTAGTTATTTGCAGAATTGTGGCAAAATTGCAAAGATGCCCATTCCCCATTCAGCGTCATGAGTGCCTCCTACAGTTGATACCGGCGCTACTGAAGCCGTCATCACTGTTATGCACATTGCGCACCTGTGTCTGGTTCTTTTCTAAGTGATGTGAAATGTTCACAGCCTGCACAACACACAGCCTTTCCAAGTCAAGCAAAAACTGTTTTTCTGGCCAAAGCAGTCTTTGTGTTACTGCAGAGCAGGCGATGACTCTGGTGAGCATGTTGAGGCAGTGTAGGCTTGCCCTGTGCTCTCTCTAATGGGTCTCCTGAATGGGTCCCACCGGGGCCTTAACGATGGGTTCTCACGTAGCCTTTTAATCAGTGGAGTGAGGATGTTGGAGACTTGTCTTTTCTGATGTCAAGTGGCAAGAAAAATCTCAGTGTGTCATTTTCAGAAGAGCTGTCACTGATGAAGTTCTGGGGCTTGGGTTCTTGACTTTGTGGTGCAATGTGAATGTGTTAGGCAGCAATTGAAAGGTTGTAATATGTGTATAAGCAATCTTTGTCTACATGAGGGTCAGCTGATCTTTCACTTCATGTTTGCTGCTATAAGTTAAAATCATCCTGTTCAGTGTGAAATATCCTCTTCTCTAGCACCCTGATTTCACAGTTTCTTGTACATATATGGCAATATGAGACTGCTGGGCAGACCTACCGGTAAGCTCCAGCGTGAAATGAAGCCAGAGACACAGGTGAATAATGTATGGCGATATGAGACTACTGGGCAGACCTACCGGTAAGCACCAGCGTGAAATGAAGCCAGAGACACAGGTGAATAATTTTGAAAATGTCCATCTCTGAAAGTCTGAGTGTGTTGATCTGCCAAGACTCATTTTGCGTGGGAGACTGACGCATGTACAGTTATGAGCACTACTGATGAAATTGTGCTCTGGCGGGAATTTCTTCTGTGTGGTATTCAGGCCGATAATCTTTCTCCATCATGCCAGGGGCCTTCTCCTACCATATCTGCTGAGAGTGCCCACTGTTCGCCAAAATGTCAGCAGCCTCGTAGCTGATCAGCTCCCGAGTCTTGCCGGTACACTTCGGCTTGGTAATTGGGTTGAGGGGTGTTGCGCTCAAGCCGGGACAAAATTGCCCCAGATCTGTGGAATTGGATCTGTCTGGGTCCACATCTCTCATAACCCCCCTCCCTTCTCAAAATACGATGGGGTGATCTCTTTCAGGAGATTGGGAATAAGTCGTTTTGACTTGCAGTGATGACAGCAAGGGATTCAACAGACATCGAGTCTGTGGCCCAATTGTTAATCCCATTTGAAGTTCCATTTTTCCACCTGAGCTGCCGTGGTCTGATCAAGAATATTGATTTCCTGTGATTGGATTACAGGATTGAATTGATCAGCTGGTTATATATTATTATTAAGAATTGCAATAATTTGCCAATTTTGGACTGCCAAGACTGATTATTTACATGTATTTTCGAATTTGAGAACTTGCAGCCCAGCGTTGAAAAGTAGAATTTGTTGCATGAGCAGATAATACAGTATGAATTTTGACGTTGAGGTTATTTTCATTTAAAATGTATCACTTGGATTGAGGATAATAGTTGAGCACAGTTCAAAATTGATCTGCTTGATTTGACAACTTCCAAATTTTGTTTACATCCTCAGTGGCAACAGAGTTGTAAATGTTCCTTTGAAAGATAAACTTCCACGTTTGCATTCATTCTACTTGTAACTTTTTAAATGGAGAGATATTTTCTGCAATTTAGTTGGAAAAAGTCATTGTTTTCCTTAGAAATGCAAATATTTGAATATACTGTGCTCAACTGAGGTGTGATTTGTTCTGGACTTCTTGTTATTTATTTGAATCAAGAGGTTTTTAAAAAAAGTTAAGCTCATTCCGAGTGAAAATTTGATTGCTTGTTGAAGTTTGCTTTGGCAGTCGTTATTTCAACGAGTGAACAAACTTAGTCTAGAGGTGTAGGCCAATGGAAAAAGATGTTCATAGCACCGTTCTGTCATTTCTCAGCTTCAAATCAAGTGGAGACACAGCTGAGGGCAGAAGTGATAGTTCCTGATAAATATTTGGACACGATTCAGACTCGTGTTGTCTCTTAATTTATCAATGCTCCCCTCCCTCGGGGGATGTCTTACTCCTTAGGAATGACTCGCAATAAATCTCCCTATCGTAACTCACGCTCAAGTGAGCAAGTATGCAATAAAAACACAGCACCATATTGCACTAGCTATCCTGCACATGTACATGTATGTAGGGCTAATTACTGTTGTGTCAATTTTAATAGAATCCTCATTTGAACAGTAATCGAAACCCCTCCCACGCACACATAAAAGGAGGAAAAGTTTCAGGGTTGAACTTGAAAAGGACTTTCAAAATGAGAATGATGTTAGAAAAAGTATTGTGCACACCAGGTGCCTGTATTTGATTCACTGATGAATGTACACTTATTTTGAGTGTGATCAGCAGATCTGCATGACTTCCCAATCTGTCCATGATTGGTTGATTTTGCTGCATTTTGCTTCATTGTACATGTACTTACACAGTTACATGTATATATGTCTATACATGTCTATACATGTAGATTAATCCGGTCATAGTCAAAGCCACGACGTGTCTTGAGATGTCTTTCCATTAGTTTGTAGTCCATTCCATATCCCCTTTCTGCTCTTCACTCCTTTCAGGGTACACTCTCTAAAACATATGCATACGGCCATGCAGATTGCAACTGAAAGGCACCCAGTGGCTGAAATGCATGAAACTCATGTTTGCAAATTACAAATGGACCGGTTTCACATTCAGTCAGTCAGGCATGTACAGGTATTAAGATGAGAAGCAAATCCCTCGGGAAATCTTTCCTTTTATTCGTAAATTCCTGAAGCTTGAAAATATGAACGTTGCTTAACTAAGAGTTCACACCCAGCCATGCCTTGATCATAGTTTGCTGAGAGCCAAGTATTCCCTTGTATTTGGAACCGTCACGCAAATTGGATTTTCTTGAGGGGGAAAAAAAAGGGACAAGAGGAGCTGAGGGGGTTTATTTTTGACCTTCTCCAAATCTGCACCGAGCACGCTTTGGCATTCAGGCTTACTGGCAGCGTTTTGCTGACATATCTACTGGTGCTTGTCAGAGAGTCACGACGGCCAGCTTTCTCTGGAGGGTAATTGCCCAGTGTGAATGGTGTGATAGGCATCAACATTGTCCCATCCCACTCCCGCGCACTGCACTGCATGACAAACTAGAAAATTGCTTGGACGCGCCGAAGTTAATTAGGCAACATTTTACTGCATGTGGCAAATGCCGTTTGGCAAATCGCTTATCACTCGGCACCGTATTCGGCAGATAATGTGAGTGCAGAGAGATCTCAAAGAACTGGTATCAAAGTATGCTATTACAGCAATCAGGCTATTGTTGCCATCAGACCAAAATTCTTTCTACAGTATGTCTCAGGCCAAGCCTTCTTCAAAACTTAAAACATCAAGGGCTTTGGTACACCAGAGTGTTGCCAGTGAAAGCACAGCTTATTTTCGTGGAAAAAAATATACCGCAAATAGTTTTAAACTGAATCTGGTTTTAATTTTTCTCAAATAAAAATAAAGTTAAAACTTAATTTTTTAATTTTGTCTTTTTTAAAACATTGATTAAGTTTGACTCTTCTAATTTGCAATCTTTGATTTCCTTTTTATTCATAATGTACATGTACTACTTGTAGGTAAATTTTTAATGTACGGTATTTAATTTTAAAATTTGTGTGGTCTCCCTAGAGCCTCGTATACATCGTTTTTATCCCAAATGTTTTTGTTTTATCATCTCAATTTTAGTTTATTATGTAAACTTGCCTTCATTTAGATTTTGGGCTGCAATGGGTGAGTGAGATGAAAGGCATAATGAAAAACATACACCTGTAAGTGAAAATTACATGTACCGGTATGTCAGGGAAAATTCTACTTCTGTAGATCTGTTTGGATGGCATTTACATGTCAATTGCTCAAGAAGTCTGCCAGACTGGAATTAATTCTCTATTCCTGTTAAGTTAAAATTGTTCCCGAAAAGAATAACACATAATGTTACAGTGTGATAGCCAAGGTCAAAGCATATGCAAGTCTAAATGCACTTCCGTTATGTTGTATTCAGAAGAGGAAGTCACATCCGAATGAAAAACTGTCAGTGATCAGATATGCGATCCTAGCCAATTACTGAGGGTAACTACATGTATGTCATCACTGGGCCAGCAGATTAGTAGAGGCAGTGATATCCTCTGAATGCAACTCTGTCAAACTCAATACTCTTTGTCGAAGAAACAGTTGCATGCAGATTCCACATCTCTGAACCCACAATGAGAAATATCACAAAAAAATCCGCTCAGATTAAAAGGTTTGGAGCGTAGAGTGGGGAGGTGTGCACATTTAATGTACATGTTGTATAGATAAGTACAGTACATGTAGATGTTAAAGGGCTGAAAAAAACCTTATTTACCGCATGATTCTGCACAAACTCGGTGTCCGTGTGGTTTGGATCCTTGTCCTCAAGGACTGTTGGCTAAATTGGCAGGTCGTTGGTTCAATTCCAACCTGCAGGGTGTTTGATATTTCCTCGGGCACGACACTTTCCAACTGGGTGCCTCTCCAAGCCCGTAGTAAATGGGTATCAGTGAGGTCAGAGTTGGAACTATGCTCTCCTGGGGAAGCCGAGAGAGTCTTTGGAATATTTTACAGTCCCAATGAGCAAGGGCAACAGTGACATACATGTACATGTACCACTACCTTTTAAAATGCACAAGCCTAAAATTTGTTGGCAGCTCCTGTAATTTGGAATTGTCAACGCTGAAAAATGTGGATCTCGATGCAGTTTGTGGAGAA